CTTAAGTGTACTTTAGAACTCAGCTCCTTTTAAAGGAGGGATAGCTCAGTGGTTTGAGCATTGGCCTGCTAAACCGAGGGTTGTGAGTTCAATCCTTGAGGGGGCCACTTAGGGATCTGGGGCAAAATGGGTACTTGGTCCTACTAGTGAAGGCAGGGGGCTGGACTCGATGACCTTTCAAGGTCCCTTCCAGTTCTAGGAGATAGGGTATCTCCATTAATTTATTTATCATTTAAAGTCCTACCCCACCTCTAGTGCAAATACAATGAAGAAATATCACCATGAACCAAAGTCTCACAGGAAGGAAACCTATTTATACCATCAGCAATCTGGTGTCTTAATTCATTGTGTTTGACAATGCTTAAAATATGAGGTTTCCATCACAAGAGGACTGGAGATCCATATTCTCTTGCCTTGTTGCCACAGAGATAATAATAGGTGTGGTGCCACAGCATAAAAGGTCATATGCATTATTCTTTCTGGCCTCCTCATGAACACAACATACTTCAGCAACCATAACCAAGGAGAGATGATTATCTTAGTTTATTACTGTCTGTAAAATAGAAATTTTGTGAAGCTTGTATAAAATAGACAGAGGATAACAAGGTACCAATGTTGTGTTTCTCAGAACCGTATATCCAAAACAAACATTATGATGACACACTTACAGATGTTTAGTTAGACTGCAGTTGGAATAAGCATTCCTATTTTGATAACTTTACATACGGAATTTCAATCTCGCTGTGGGACTGCCCGCACTGAGATAATCCATTGTAACTATTGTGTCTCTCCATTAGAATTTACATCAAAGGGAGAACCTTTCCTTAATTTTAATAAAACCAATTTCATTTCATATTTCAGTGATCTATAATACAGGTGTATTGTACCTGAGGGGACCTCCATTGGTAGAAGGCAACTCACTCACAGTTCATCTGGGATAAAACCACTCAGCTTTGCAGTGCAATGATATCAGAACTGTTAATAAGACACCCTAAGATACACATGGAAGGAGTCTCAGGGCACCATAATAATATAAGAAAGCATATTCAAAGGATGACTATTTGGTATAGTACAAATGTAGAGTCTGAAATAAATAAGCTTTGTCTATAAAGCTAGATGTAAAACATCGGAGGGCTGATGTGCACATTAATTATGAGTGCCATGCAAATTAGAAATATTACATGCTGTCCATCAGTGAGTCACAGAAATGCAAGAGTGTCTTGTCAATTTTTCTGCGGGAGAGTGTCTTGTTTTGTAAGAGCTTTAACCCAGTCATGTTTTATTCCAAACCCCAAATCTGCTCAGAAGATTCACTATTTAGTGAACTAGGGCCATGTTTTGAGCAAAACAGGGTCAATTGAAGGTTATCAACATGTAGGGCAATTTACAGAACATGAATACAAAGGCTGTAATCCTTGTTGTTTTTACATTCTAACTCGAAGTCAAAAGTATGAGAAAGTGTCTCATTAACCATGCTTAGGCAAACTTCAGGGAATTGAGCTTAGCATCGCTTTGAATTTTGGGGTTCATTAAAACCAGAGAATGCAGGGAGCCCAGATTCCCACTCTGTTAAACTAACACTGATGTGAATCTGATGTAACAACTAGAATGGAGTCACACTGGTGTAAAACTGGTGGAATAGAAGGAAAAACTAAGCCCACACCCCATAGGCACCAAAGCCAGACTTTTGTGCAGATCTGCTGTGTTTTTTACAAGCAGATACAGCAGCAGTGTAAACAGAATATACATAGATATATATCAAGCCCAAAATACTATCATATATATACACACACACACACACACACATCTGTGTACCTTTTACTGTCAGTGTAGTCTCAGACTTTCTTCAAAGGAAAGACTCATGAATGATGTGGCAAGAGGTCCTATCCGTACACTGAGCATGGTGAAAGAAATTTTTATTAAGCACTGGGCAAAAGAGGGATGTATATGTGGGAAAGGGAAGTCAGATAGACCAGATGCAGAGAGAGCCTTTAGTAAAGTGATGATGTGCAATTAAAACTAGTTAAGTGGAGATGCATCAATTGTTCAATATGATTTAACCTTGAGTTGAAAAAAGAATCGTAGACTGGTAGCTCAAGCAGGTTTCTAGTACTATTGATACTGAAGGAATGGAACTTGAAAAATGTTCACAGAGCTACAAACAACCATTAACCCTTGTCTCTCGTCCCCCCCCCCACCCTCCCCCGTTACCATACCCCAACAAACAAAATATGGGCAGTTTAAGTCTGACAACTATAGATAAATTAGGCTCTGTTAGCAGAATACACCTTTCTGTTTGGCTGCTTCCAATCACAGATTTACAGAAAATAGGTTTCTTATTAGCAAATGTTTTCTTAAGAGTGATCTCAATGTTATAGACATTATCCCACCCACATGATTAAAGATTATTTCATTTTAGTTCACATCTACTCCACTCAGATTTCAAATTTAAAACAGACACATTTTCCAAGAGTGAAAAACACAATTGCTGTACGAAAGTGAGCAATTCAGCATCAAACCATAAGTAATTAACTGTTTATTTTGACTCACACAACTTTTAGGCATTCGTGTTTTTTTTTTTTAAATGTAAGCGTTTATAAGCTCTTCAACAGTCACAGAGCTTAAAAAAAAATATTTCCATGAAATCTGTCATCCTGATGTTATGGTTGATGGTGTTTATTGTCAGATATAAGTAAGCAACTAGTTCAGTGGTTCCCAAACTGGGGTTCGTGAACCCCTGGGGGTTCGCGAAATGTTACAGGGGGTTCTCGGAAAAAAATTCCCTAATGGCGGACAGAGCTTTCCTTAGGGACCCTGGGCAGCACAGGGCCTGGAGCCACTGGACTTCCACGAGCTAAGCAGATCAAAGCAAGCATATCTATCACACTGAGGAGATTTAAACTTCAAGACTCGTTATAAGAAATGGAAAGGGAGGTGGATATTTTTTGCTGTTTTTAAAATTAAATAGGCAGCTAGTATTGTTTTTTTTTTTTTTAATTATTATGAAGAACAAGTTTAAGCTTTGTTGTAACGTGCATTGTTTGCCTGGACTGCTCAAGACCTGAATGCTAGTGTAGGAGGAACTCTGAGTTGGCTTCTTAAATACCTTCATGATGTTTCACATCTGATACTCCTTGATGAAACATAGGAGCCTTGTCTTATAACAGGCTTATTCAAAGTGATACAAGCTACGAAAGTGAGCTCTTGGAAGAGTGTTGCCATTTTCATAATGTAATAAAAATACTGTAATGATAAATAATAATAAATAATAAATAGTGTGTAATATGCATGTCATAAAAACAAATTTTATATTTCCCAGATCACTGCTTTTATCATTTATACTCAGATAAAGAAGAAAATCCCTGGAAATATACATTTTTAGGAGGGGGTTCCCGAGACTCGACATTTTAGTGAAAGGGGTTCACAGGTTGTTGAAGTTTGGGAACCACTGAACTAGTTGTATCCACCCTGAACCTATGACAGCACAGTTTACATGCTGACAATGCAAACGCAACAGTGACCTGGAAAAAGCTGACCTCCTCACACTAAGCTGAATTTGAACGCACCTATCTTCAGTTTTCGTTTCAATTTTTTCTCAGATCTCAATCCACACTATTTTCAAAATATAATAGCTCAGTCTTGTTCAAAGCATTACATCCTAATACTGCTACCTACATGGGTTCTGACCACTCCCTGCAAAATGTAGTAAAAGGCCAAATTGCTGAATTTTAGTGAGGTTGCTGGTGAAAAACATCAGGTAATACCAGTAGTCTTTTACTGACATGATCTTGACTTTACCCATTAAAGTCAATGGGAGTTTTGCCACTAATTTTAATAGAAGAAGTACCAGTAGTGGATTAATTGTTGGCAAATTAACTACTGTACGTAGCAAATTCCACATACCATTCTTACTGTGTTACTATGTAGTGACTAACAAGAATATAGAAAATCAACATACATTCATTTCTGTCTTCCAAACAAAAAAATTATGTGGTAAATTACAATTTAGTAGTACAAATATAAATGTATTTTTCCTAGCATATGCAGTAGTGTAAATATAATATGCAGCAAGGGTATAGTTACTAAATTATATAATTAAGAGTCTCTACAATAAACATATGCTCTACATTTCAAGAATGAGTTATCTTGTTTCTTGCTCTGACATAAGAAATAAATGCTCATGAAATATAAGTTTATAGCTAGAAGCTCTTCACATAGGTGCCTTATCAGCCAACATTTTCAGTCACACCAATGACTTATTAATCCTGTTCCAAAAGACTTGAAAATGTTGGAGTCTGGTACCAATTATGTGTGTCATCTTAGCCTACTAGCAACACACTCATTTTTTATTTAAGCATATGAGACCAACAAAGAATGGCAGAAATTGATTATTATATTTCACACAGGTTACTTTCTTGACTTGAAGGTTATCTCCAAATCCTTGTATAAAATAGGTAACTTTAGTCTACAAAGCCTCAAGAGGTTATCCTCAAAACAACTTACATTTTTGTTACTGAGAAGGTAAAAGTATTTGAGTGAAATAAAATCAACGGGCAGTATTAAGAGGTCATGAAAGAAGGCACTTCTGCTTGGCTGTACACTAAAATCATCTAGCACAATTCAAGAGGAGATATGTAAGACACACTGTGTTAAACTCCTCTCTACCTTCTCTCCAAGAAATCTTGCTAACAAACATGACTCAAACCAAGATTTGCTGCTCATATCATAGTAAGTGTTTCATATTCCATATTCAGTTATTTTCCAGAACAAACCATATCAATATTATTCCTATTCAAAGTGAATTTCCATGCAATGCTACTGTACAGCATCATTCCTTTTAAAAAAGAAAAGCACCCAACACAGAAATACCAGCATCCCACAAGTTCTGCAGAAAGGCAGGAAGTGGACACACTTACAATTGACTATTAAGGCACTTTGTATATAGGCTTTTATATCCACATGGAAACAATACCAGAAAATCTTAAATTTAGATATCCTACCTTCTTGAACTGCCTGAAATGGGTTGTTGCCATCCACAAATGTAACAGAACATGTGATTTTCTCTGTCTGTAGGATTTCATCATTCTGGTTGAGGTCAGCAACTGCCATACGAAACACCTCCTCATCCTTTTTGGCAGATTCATCAAAAATTGCCCCTGGAAAAAATAAACAAACATTCCTCTTTCATGCTGACTTGACAAGTTTTACAATTTAAAGGCATCCCTTCACCCAGCACAATAGTGCAGCCACCTGTAAGATAAATAGTTGCAGGATTCTAACTTAACTATTTAACAATGCATAACAACTGTACAAAGTTTAGGACAGAAAATAAAGATAATCATTGGAGCCAACTAGAGAAACTGGGGGGATTTAAGTAGGTACAATATAAACTACCCACATTGTAATTTGCCAAGGAAAATGAGACACTCTGGAATATATTTTATGATCATAACTGGCCAAGACGTCAGTTTTACATCTCATCCAAATGACAGTTAAGGAACTTAAAGTTAATGTAATCAAGGTTGGATACTAAAAATAAGCCTAGAATTGTAACAGCACTTCTGTAACAAAGTGTGACAATCCTTTGGAAAATGGGCTAGCCAGGACAATCAGCATAAGCAAACACCCTTGGTGTAAATCAAAGCTCCACTTTCTATCAGATTTGCAAAACAGTTACACCCAGTATGTCCCTCGGCCCACGCTGCTTCCAGCAGCTCCCATTGGCCTGGAGCAGCAAACCGCGGCCAGCGGGAGCCGCGATCGGCCAAACCGAGGACACGGCAGGTAAACAAACCGGCCCGGCCCGCCAGGGACTTTCCCTAAACAAGTGGCGTCCCAAGTTCGGGAAACACTGGTATCGTGGAACTGTAGTCAGCCAGAGAAGCAGGGATTCTGCACCTCTGAAAGTCAGGCCACTTGATTTCAGAACCTAATCATAAATTTAGGAGCATAATTTTGGGCATTCGAGTTTGAGTAATTGAGCAGAGCATTGCTTGTAAACCAATAGAGATCCACTGTCACTACAGACATGAAACATTTCTCTTCCATTATTCTATTATCCCACTGCTCCATACTACTTTCACTTTGAGTCCCAGCTGGGGGATTCAAGACCATAATGACTACTGAGGTGAGTTTCCATCTCCTTGGCTCTCTGTGTGGGGCAGAAGAATGACCCCCTTGACTCTAAGTAATAATAAAAGAGAGGCCTGATCTACATGACAAAGTACTCATTGATTACGTCTTCTAACTGAAAAATCAATTAAGTTTCAATTCTGTAACGCAAGGGACAATATCAGTTTGTGTGTGGTTTTGTTATTTTCTTTTTCAGACTCCTAACTTTTAAAAATAATCAATGTTGGTAGAAGCAGCAAAGAGTCCTGTGGCACTTTATAGGAGCATGAGCTTTCGTGGGTGAATACCCACTTCTTTGGATGCATCCGAAGAAGTGGGTATTCACCCACGAAAGCTCATGCTCCTATAAAGTGCCACAGGACTCTTTGCTGCTTTTACAGATCCAGACTAACACGGCTACCCCTTTGAATGTTGGTAGAGCACTGCAAATACTGGGCCAGATAATTTGGCCCAACTCTCTACATCCTCTCTTCTGCTCCTGCAGCACAAAGGGAGTGGAAATCCTCCATAGGGGTTCGCCTGCTATGGGGGAGTCTCCAGCAGACGTGGAACTAACATGTCTTCTTTCATGAGACCCCACAGGCAGAGGGTGGGGGGTGTGTCTGGAGCACTGTGCACTTCACCAATCCCCAGCACGAGTATGGTTGCTTGAAGACTTTAGCTGGCTCACACATGTTACAGCTGGGGCCCTCTAACTTCAAACAAATCCACAGCAGAGAGCCCAGGTAATGAGGCAGTTGTAACTGGCTCCCCGGTGGCCTTCCCCCATTCCTGCACCACATGAATCTCTGTCTGAGACAGTTTTTCTTAAATTATTTCAATATGGGTTTTTGTTCATTTGTTTCAATTTAAGGGATTTTTCTGCCCTCCCCTCCCCCCTGTGATGTTAATAAGGAACAACAGATGGACCAGAGGACACCTGCCCCAAATCCCTAGCTCATGAGAAAGAGAAAGTGACTATCAGCAAAATGGTAAAACTGCCTCCCCCCCCACACACACACAGAGTGCTGTTAAAATGTATGAAGTAAACATCTTGGGAGACAAAAAAATATAATGTAATTCCTCAACAAGCTGGATTTCTCTCGTTTAAGTAAATGTTCTGTATTTTGTCAGTACAGCATAAGAAAGTCAACTAACATCAAGCTCTCTCATTCGATGCAGTCAGACACATAGGTGAAATTAAAACAAATATACTGAGAAAATTTATTTACCTATTATACACATACTCAGTGTCCAATTCCGATTTAGACTGAGACCAGAAATGACTCCACTGAAACTACTAAAGTTATACTGGTGTACAACTGCCGCAAGTAAGAGTCGTATCAAGCCCAGTGTCTTTCCGTTGTTCAATTGGTTTTTGTGGAAGTTTGTTTTTAATACAGAAGGGTTGACTTTTTTTGGGGGGTGGGGGGACACGGACAAACAGATCTTTGGCTCACTTCTGTGTTTAAATTAACATGACTAAGCCCAAATTCATCAAGTGGTGACTGACTATCCATTATATAGATATAGATATATATAGATACACCCCCAGATTCTAAACTTAACAAAATATTCTGAAAAGAAAAGCTTGCTGGTATCTCAAAAAACAAACAAACCTTCTCATTCCATTGCTAGTAACATCCAATTTTAATTTTACTGGTTAAAAAGAAAATTGCAAAATGAGTAAATACTCAGTCTGTGCCTAATCAGATTACAGTAGGCTTTTATAATTTAAAAAGCATTCTTCTCTGGTGAAGCCATCCTCTTCTGTGAAGAATCTTGGCAGCTTTATCCAACAATCTGCTGGACTTTCACAAATGAATTGTGCCTTACTCATGTTTAGGCAATTAGAATGGTACCCCTTTTTAATGGGCCTATTCACTTAATTAAATGAAAGATTAAGACGCTGCAGAATGGAATGGTTTTCCACCATGTTTCCACATCTAGGGTCTGAATCAGCGAGGCACTTAAGCATAAACCTAACTTTGAGCATGTGAAGTCTCACTAAAGTCAAGACTAGGGTGACCAGATGTCCCGATTTTATAGGGACAGTCCCGATTTTTCGGTCTTTTTCTTATATAGGCTCCTATTACCTCCGACCCCCATCCTGATTTTTCACACTTGCTGTCTGGTCACCCTAGTCAAGACTTAAAATAAGGCACATGATTAAAAGCTTTGCTGAATGACAGACTTAGTGTGTTGCCACCTGATCGGACCATAACACAAATTATCTCTGCTCAATGTCTAAGGCATATCATAAAACACGGGGTAAAATTCTGTTCTCATTACACCTAGGTAGCCCACTGTTTTGAGTGGGTTACATGGATGCGAGGGCAAATTATGACCCAGAGATGGTAAGACATTTAAGTGACCTATTACATCAGGTCATCTAATCAATCTCTGCAGGTAAAAAATATTGTTCCCTACCATGAGTCTTCCTGTGCTTTTGTCCAGTCTAATTTTAAATGTTTCAAGCAAGGAAGTGAAGAGAGAATTTACAGGCTTTCCAATATGTCAAAATGCTACAGGCAACATCTAAAATAAAACAAAGTAAAAAAATGCAGTAAAAAGAGCAAGCGAAGTCTCTGCATTCTGCTGGGTGAAGCAAGGTGGAGTAAAACAATCAGAGCCCTGCCTGTTTCCAAAGTCTGTTATTTGTCATAAATGATTTGACGAGAAAAGGGTGTTCCACTCTATTACATTTTGTTCTAGAGTCTGCTATCCTGCCCTGGCAAAGTGGCTTGACAGGTTGACAAAGAAAATAAAGACTCAGCTTGTTACGTTGTAAGCTTTCCTGAATGGATTTACATGCAATAAGAGCTGGTGCTGGAGGTACTGTATGTCAAACTCATTAATTATAAAGCAATAAAGGATTAAATTCCTCATGCACAGAAACATACGCTTCAACATAGGAGGATGACACTTTCGTATAAAAGTGAATGTCTTTGGCTTGTCTTTTGAGAAACCTTAGTTTTATTAAGTTTAGAGATTGTGCAAAGTCAATTCATTGGTCACAATGGGCAGTAGAGATCTGCAGAGCTCTTCAGGATTTATAAATTATCCTCTCTCCTATCATTTGCAATGCTGTTAGCCACACGTGGGTTTTTCCCTTTAATTCTATAGCTGCACTGTGTGTGTGTGTGTGTGTGTGTGTGTGTGTGTGTGTATGTGTGTGTGTATACACACACACACACACACACACACACACAGTGTATATGTGTTAGCATCAATGGGAATTATGCTCACATTTGGAAAGGTGAATAGCCTCTCAAGTTTTCATAGATGAGATAAAAGTCTGGTCTTTCCCTTTATGTAAATGAGCATGCACACCACCGCACACATGAATACTTTCCAAGTACAGCTAATTCATTTCCAGATCATGCAGACAGGCATTTCTGGTCAAATGCTAATTGCTCTTCACCTTTTTCTAACTTGTTTTTAACACAATGAAAGAATCCAACGTCACATTCTTCAGTTCAGGTTCACTAACCTCCTTGTAAAAAAGGCCAGAATTTGATAGTTTCTTTTTGGATGAAGGGCTTGGATGAGGAAGAAGAAAGAGAAATGTAGTCCTATTTGAGGTGTATTTGCTTAGATAGGATTTACTGCAGAATTAATAGTATATTAAAAATAAACATGTAATCTGCACATTTTTACAGAGCACTTTGTTTTAACATTAATTAAATGTACAAAAAAAGGTACTTGTGGGCAAAGCCTCATCAATACGTATAGGAAAGGTCTGATTCTCCATTGCCCTCCAGTTCAGTCATTTACAAGAGCACAAAATTGTGTAAAATGCTACTAAATCCAAACAGTAGCAATCTACATATATGCTGCATTTACTTTGCCCTGGCTTAATTGATTAAACAAGGTGTGGAGCAACAGAAAACCTGGCAATGCAATTCACAAAACAGAACACTAATGATAATTACGGACATCTGAAGATGCTTTGGGACAATATTAATTATACATAAACAATACAGTGTATATATAGGTTATATTCCTTTCACAACATAAAAATCAAGATAGTATAGATATTGTT